GACAATCTTGCAAAAGTTCTCAACTAAAAGCAACAAGCAGGGCTTTATAGCATAATGCCCCAATGGGCTGAAACACAGAGAGATGCATAGGAGAGATGGGGTTTCTCCATGTTGGTCAGGCTGGTCTCAAACTCCCAACCTCAGGTGATCCGCCCACCTCAGCCTCTCAAAGTGCTGGGGTTACTACAGGTGTGAGCCACTGCACCCGGCCCAAAGTCTTTCTTGTTGAGTTTAAGAAAAAATCTTTTTCTTCAGTTGTTATTGTTTCAAAGCCATCATTTAAAGAAAAAATGGTGTGAGATCTGGGTATGGGTAGACAGGCCCCATGACCAGGAAGACCCCCTCCCCAGTGCCCACAGCCTGGCAGCCTAACAGGTAGAGGCGGGGGGGCTGCCAGAGTACCTGGATTCCATGGGGTCCAGTAACTGGGGCTGAGGAGGGGATCCCGTCCTTGCCCCTGCCTCATTCACATGCCTAGATAGGCCAGTTTGGCAGAGTTCCTGGGGATCAGGGGCTCTCCTGTGCATTGGCAGGTGGCCCAACTAGGTCCACAGGCAGTTATGGAGGCTCCTGTAGACCTGGGAGCAGGCAACAGGGCTGATGGTGGCCTGGGCAAAATTCACGGGAAAGGTGATGGCCAGGCATTGGTGGAGCACAGAACAGACCCTCACAAGCCGTAGCAGGCTGTGATGTCAACCACCGTGGGGCAGGAGGAGCAGTATGATCACAAAGAATGTGCTGTCCACTGCTTCATGCCCTTGACCTCACCCATGCCCAGCAGCCGGCTGTGTGCTCATCCTGCCAGATGCCCAAGAGTCCACTTGGTGGTAGCCTGGCCTGTGCTCTTGAGGCCATGGAATGTCCAAGTCTGGGTGGCACCCAGCATCAAATGCACCCACTTCATCTTGGGTGATAAGACTCAGCTTGCCACAACCAGGGTGCAGAGCTACTGTAAGCACAACCAGCGCTCATGCGAAGGCCGGCAGGCTGGGGGCTTGAAGCATAGGCCTCAAAGAGGCACTGTCCTCCAAGTAGTGACTTGCCGGTGCCCTTGTCAAAAATGGCTGCGATGGCCACAGTAACTGGTCCATACCATAAAGATGATGGCAGTGCACATCCACAGCACTGGGTAGATGCAGCCGCATGTGACAGCCATGTGATGTTAACACAGAACAGCATGAGGCTATATGGAAACAGCAGAGACTGGCCACAAGGGCCACAATCTGAGATCTGAGTCGACCGAACATGGAGAGCCAGAGCGCACAGAACAGAAAGACAGCAGAGCACCCCCCACTGGCCTGAGCCCAAATCCACCACCCACAGGAGGCCAGAAGGAGCTTTATGTAGGCCCCACATCCCAGGGCAGCACCTAGCCGGACTGGAACCCGTAAGGCCTAGAAGGGGCCTCCGTAGGCCACCTTGCGAGGCCTCCCCTGGCTCTGTAGGGCCTATCCCCCAGCAAGTAGTACTGCAGGGGGTTGGCCCACAGGTCATCTTTAATAATCTGGGCAACGCTGTCGGCCTCTGGGAGGCTGTGCTGTGAAAACCAACTGAAGAAGCTTCGGACAGTGTCCCGGTTCCTGTGTACGAGGGCCGGGGGTTCCTGGCCCCGGTGCCACCGGATGCGAGTCGCAATAGACACCACTCGGCCTGAGGGTCTGCATTCATACTCCTTTACTATCACCTTGTTCTGGAAGTAGGGGTTGCTCCAAAAGCGGAACTTGAATTTGCAACCTGTCCTGGAGTGCCTGAGCTCCCTCACCTCCAAATTCATCAGGTAGCAGAGCATGTCTTCATCTCGAGGGCTGATCATGGCTGACAGCTGCGGGTGGTTCAGAAAGGCAGTGACCCAGAAGCCAGGAATATTCTGGATGATGAAGCTCCTACGGGCGAGGTGCAACCTGTGCATCCGCCCAAACCTGCGCTCAAGCTGGAGGTAGGCCCTGTCGGCCTGGGCGCTCATGGCCTCCGCCTCCCACTGGATGGCCTCCAGAGGGTCCACAATTAGGACACCAAAGTTCAGTGGTCCCGGGCCCTCCTGGGCCTCCGCTCCCACCTCCTGCTTCTCCTCCCCCACCAGCTTCTCCCCCACCTGCTGCTTCTCCACCTTCTCTGCGGCCTCCTCCTTGAAGATGGCGCCCTCCTCCGTGGTCGCGTCCTCGGCCTTCTCGCCGGCTCCCGCCCGAGCCCCCGGGCCTTCTGAACCGCAGGTTTCTGGGGCTTCGTCCAGGACCCGACCGTTTTCCAGGCTCAGGGCAGTCGCCGCGGAGGTCGCTTCCCCGCGCCTGGGGGAAGGGAGGGCAGTCCCGAGGCCCGCTGCGGGGTGGAGGGACCCGCGCCCCATAGCTTCTCGGGCCCAGGCCGCAGGGGCCATGCGCGCGTCCCCCTCCTGCTCAGGGCCGGGCGGCGGGCGCGCCGCGGCTTCCGGGGTCCCTGCCCTCTCGTCCGCCATCGCCTGCGAGAGCCTCTGGCCTGGAGGGGCTCGGGGAGCGCGGGCGACTGCAGGCTGGGCAAGAGGGGCGGCTGTCGGCGGGAGGACAGTGGGCGGAAGGCTCCGCCCCGCGCGCCCCCTTCTCGGATGTGATTCGCTGGGGTCCCCCGCAGCCGGGCGAGCGGCCTGAAGGCTGGGAGGAGGGGTACGGGGCTGCTCGATGAGGGTGTGATTGCGGGCGCCACAGAACTGGCCCCGGATTCGTTGGCACTGGCGATGGCGATGGCGATGGCGATAGAGGTGGAGGTGGGGAGAAGTATGTACCAAGCAAGGGTCAGCTCGGAGCAAACACCAGGGGACAGGCCCAGTCACTGGTCCTGGATAATTAAAACTTTCCTATCACAGCCACCACGCCAGGCGATTGCTCAACGTTCCCCACCTGCAGTGGGCAAGCAGAAGTCGCCCAGCTCCCACACTCCAGTGTTGCTTTGGGGCAGTTGTAGGTCATTCGCAGCCTTGCATTGGTTAAGTTACTCAGGCACACGCGGAAGGCTTAAAGAGGTATCCCCTGCAACGACTGACCAGATTCAAACCAGATACACTGTAATGGTAATCTTCTCACACAAAGGTGATCAACGCATTCATGTAGGGAAAGAAGGTGCTTGAAATATTCATGTGGGGAAAATAAGCAAGGTCGGAGTGGAAGGATCTGGGGCAAGAGAGGGTGTTAAATGCTACAAACAGGGAGCGAGTGGGCATCTGCCTGGTTTCTCCAACAGGAGTTGGTTCCTCCCGGGCTGGGTGGCAGAAGCCAGGCGGACCCTGCTTCACTTTGTCCGAGGCCCAAATGCTACCCTTCCAAAGGTGGACTCTAGCCTTAAGTGCAGGGACTGTACCAGGGCTGTACCAGGACTTTTCCTCCCCAACCAGCTTCTCCCCCACCTGCTGCTTCTTCACCTCCTCTGCTGCCTCCTCCTTGAAGATGGTGCCCTCCTCCGTGGTGACATCCTCAGTCTTCTTGCGCTGGATGAGCCAGCCCTCGAAGTCCTTGATCCTGCAAATCTGTGTTCCTGTGGTCTCTGCTCCCAAACTGTGACCTATGAAGGTCAGTACCCCCACCTCTGCCCAAGTCCTTGCCACCTCTTCCAGAAAGCTTTCAGCGTTTTTCTGACCAATGGATGCAACAGCTCCCTCATCTGAGCCCTCAGACCTATACTGTGGTATACACTCCTTAGGGAGCAAGGTGGATTTCCTTAGAGTCCTAGCTAGAGTTTTAACCTACTGGGGTGGACACTGAACATTTGTCAAGCAGAAGGCCAGAGATGAAGGGTCAACCCACTGCCTTTGTACACAAAACACCTGTACTTGTTAATGCCTCCACAGGCTCTTGGGCTGGACTCCAAGTGACTTGCACTGCTTGGCCATGGACACGGGCTCCAGACCACAGAAGTCAGTTCAGTCTGAGCCCCTGATGGGAGGATCTCAGCACAAGGGTTGGCGCCCAGGATAGTGGTGATGACCTTCATTAATAAGGTCAAGGTCAGGTGAAGCCATATAAGCCTCTCAGCAGTCTGCGTGAACCCACTGGTTGGGCACAAGTGTAGGTTAGGTCAGGTCCTAGCTGTCACCAGCTGTCCACCTTGGGCAATGATGAGCATGAACATTTTTGCTTTCTTGGACAACCAGCATCTATTCCTCATCCTAACAATGCCCCAAATTTCCTTTGAGAAACCACTCCTCCTGTCTCAGCCTTGTTGTCACTGGCATATGGTGACTGGTTTGGGATGGTACAGAATCCCATCAAGGCCAATGAAACAGGATGCTTACTGGGGCTTCTGTGGCGAGTCCTCTCCTGAGAGCCTGGAGGGTTGCTTCCTTTCGGTCAGCAGTGTGTGAGAATGGCAGGTCTGGAATCCAGGCAGCATTCTGCTCACACCCACACAAAGGGGGAAATCTACTTTGCAGGGCCTGTGGATGAAGTCACAACTGCATCACAGAGCAGGGAGAAACAGGAATGCTGAGGCCAACCATGTGGAGCCACTAGATCAAACCTAACCTAGAGACTGCTCTACAGCTGGCATTTTTCAGTTACACGCAATTTCACTGTGAAAAGCCAATGATTTTGGCTGTCTGATCCTTGCATCCAAGATAGAATTATGCCACTTACCTCAAAGACATACAACTCAGGTATTTAACATCAAAGAAGAAAGCTTGCAGGTGCTGATGGGAGGGGTTTTTACTGTCTGCCCTACACTCACCACCATCCTGGATGCTAAAGATGTCCGGAGATTCCAGTTCTTCCCAATTCCAGGCTCTCTCCAACCCTTTCCCAATCAGACAGGTTCACAACTCCCAAACACATCATTCAGAAGTTTTTAATAAACAACTTCATTATAAAAACCTTTTTTTTTTTTGAAAATGTAATTCTGTAAAACATTGAAAAATCTACTTTAACAAAGATATGCCCTGTGCATTTTCTAATGGCACTTATACTTTACAATTAAAAACCTTGTTTTATATAAAGCCAAAAATACTCCAAGAGGTTATTCACTGTGTTTACAAAGTGCTAGAAGATTTTTGTCTTGTATTTTTCTCTCTTTAAATAATCTGGAGTTACAAAAGAGTGGCTCCAAAGCCTTGACCACTGGTAGGGAGGGAGAAGCATAAGAAGTGGTGTTTTAGGAGTTCTAGTGCCAAATATGCAGAGGTGGAGAGGTGTGAGTGGGAAGAATCAGCTAAGGAAGTTAGCTGACACACAAAGAAATTGAACTGGAATTTTTCCAAACCCCTCCATGGAGGCACTAGATTATTATAGAGAACACCCTTTTCCCTCGCCATAGACCCTACTCTCCAGAGGCAAAGGTCACGGCCAATTCCTTCCACAGCAGGTTCAGAGCTCCAGGAGAGGCCAGGGTGGGGTCCCAGAGGAATCTGGATTTTTCTGGCCAACACCTGCCTAAGGCAAAGTTTCTTATTACATAAATATCCTTGTTAAAAAGCAAAATATTGATCCTGTACAATATAACCTGTTAAAAAAAATCGTGCTTACAAATAGCTCCTAGATAAGAGGAGAGGTGGAGAGAGGATGGAGAAAACAGCTACCAAAAAGGGAGGGGGGAATTTAAAGGACTACTAGGGAAAGTTTTAGGGCAGTGGGAGAATTCCAACTTAGGACAATATCTATGAGCAAAAAAGTAATCACACCTGCTTCCCGGATTTCAATTAAGAAAATGCCATTGTAAAAGGTTGGGGGGGGAACCTCATTGGTGCTCCTTTCCCTGCCTCCCACCTCTTTAAGATGATGCAGGGATCCTTTGAGCTGACATCTGGGCATGCCATTCCCTTACTCCCAGGACTGGACTCAGCCCTGACCAGCTACTGTGTAGGGTGGGAGGGGGACAGCTCATTGCCGACAGAGGCTGGAGGTGGCAGAGAAAGGGGACATCACCCCTTTTTTTCCTGGTCCCTCACTGGTCTTTGCCACATGCCATGGCTCCTGTCCTGGGCAGACACCCCTCAGGTTCTCATGGCCTCAGTAAGCATACTGAAGTGAGTTTGGGTACTGAGTGTAGGATAAAGCTATTCTTATCCTTTGAACCAGGCCATTAAGGCTTTTTTTTTTTTTTTTTTTTCCCCTCTTCTCCCCCCGCCCCACCCTGATTTTAGGAAGAGAGGTTTAAGAAATGGCTGGCTAGCTATGGTCCAAAAAAAAAAGGTGAAGGCAGATATTATTCCTCTGTACCAGCAAAGTTCACAGTGATGGGAAAATTCCTTGCGGGTGGTGAGGACACTGAGGGAGGAGGAAAGGAAAGACAGGATAGACGGGAAGACACCAAAGTGGGGAAAGCAAGGAGAAAAGACAAGAGGTGGGGGTGAAACAGTTGCTTTGCCAGTCCCATGACTTTCCCAGCATCACTTACGGGGAGAGAGAATTCGAGGGAGGCAGAGAGGACAGGACTCCTCTAACAGCCCAGGACTTTGTATTCTGCAGCAGAGGCCCAATGGCCTCTGTAAACTGAGGGTGTAGGGAAGGTGGCAGTTAAGGGGAGAAGGGTTGCTGGGTCTAGTGCTGAAGACCGGATACAACAAGGAGAATGGCAAGAGCGAGTCCCAACTGGATTCTCACATCCTATTGCCTATAATACGAGTCCCAATAACATGCACAGCATGCAGGAGGTGGCTGCGTACCAAGGTAGACGCTTTTTAAAATAAACCTTAATTAGTCCCTGGGACTCACTGAAACTAATTTTTAGAAGCAAATCATCTAGTCTGATTCTAACCTTACCAGACATTTTAATATCTGGTTTTTTTATTTAAAGGTATCCCAAGCTACCCTGCCTATATCGAAACACACTTACTCCAAATTGCTTCCAATCAAGGGCTAGGGAGCTAAATTTTAAGGCTTTCACCTCAAACAAGGAGTACTGGCCTGGGCTGAAGCAGAAGCCTGAGTCCTGGACCTGCTCAGTTCCTGATGACAAACCAAGTGAGCCTAGACAGAAGGCGGGTGAGGGAGGACTGGGAGGAGGCTGAGGCAGTTCCTTGGTAGTTTGTCCTGAAACCCTAGTGGAGAAGTCAGCATCAGGCACCTCCTGAGAGAAGTGCCCAGAAACTGCTGACTGCATCTGTCAAGAGTTAACAGTAAAGAGGTAGAAGTGTGTTTCTGAATCAGAGTGGAGATGTCTCAAGGGTCCCACAGTGGAGGTCCCTGAGCTGCCTTCCTTCCATGAGTGGGAAGAGTGAAGCCCATGAAGAACGGAGATGAAGCAAGGATGGGGTTCCTGGGCTCTGGGCAAGGGCTGTGCTCTCTACAGCAGGAAGCCCCACAAGTCAGAAGAGAAGAACTAATCATTTGTTGCAAGAAACCTTGCTGGATACTAGGGGCAAAACTGGAGATGGGGATGGTAGCACAAGAAGAAAGTGGAAGTTTTTGGACAGAAAGCAAAGAAGCCTATGCACAGTGGCTGAGTCCACTGCAAAGTGGAAGGGACAGACGGGACATTGTGGATAAGGAAAATTTTGGTTTAGGACATAACAATGTACCCATAGATTAGGACTTAACTATGTGCCCATTCCTAACTTTCTGCAAACTCTTCTTCCAACAATTCCACAACTTCCTGGAAAAGGGACAGGTGGGAGGAAGACAAATGAGGGGCTCAGACCTCCTCCTTTGCTATTCACACCAACCCAGAGTCTCTGCTTCCAAGATTGATAACAGCTCATGATGTTCAAGGTGGGGACTACGGGTTGGGGAGGTGACAGATGTGGGTATGCCTTTCATTTCTTCCCCTCTCCAGTTCAAGAGGAGGATGAGGGGGTCATAATGTACTTGGAGAAAAACAGAACTGCAGACCTGTGAGAAAACTGCTCCAATCTTCTTGCCTGTCTTCTGTGGACACTGCCGAGGAGGGCAGGAACAGATGCAGTCATGGAAGATGGCAGTGACTGAAGCAGTCCAAAGTCAGTTTATTTCCCCACGGGGGAAAAATGTGACCTCAAGTGAAGAGAAGTCAGCAAGACCCGACTCCGCCTTGTAAACAGGACTCCAGTTAACACCAGGTACCAAATGGTTCAGGCTGGTGCCAACTGGAATGGACTGATGGGAATGGATTCACGGTGTGTAAACAGTGTTCACTGCAATCATCCTAAGGCTAACAGCTTGGCAAGGGAGGTGAAATGGTGTCTGAGGGGACTGTGTAAACGGTACCGTTGCTGGACAACACTGACTGGAAACAGAGGCGCTGGTACAGTAGGCGTAGGTGGGCAGGAAATAAAGGCCCTCTCTCCTGCCCATTGGTTGGAAGCAGGCGATGGAGCCAAGTGACCTTCTAGAGCAGGGCCTGACCAACTGACTGCTGTGGGGTCTGCAGGTTGGAACCAGAAGGCGGGCTTCTTGGGCAATTTCTCTTGAGGTCGTCCAAGGTGAAACCCTCTGTGTCTCCAAGAGGCCTTCCCATTCTCGAGGAGGTTCTGGCGCTTTGGAGAGGGACAAGGCTAAATGTGGCTCCCGATTCAGGTCAAAAAAATAAAAGCAAAAATACCTGAAGTCCTATGGTATGAGATCTTTTCACAGGGTTGGGGCTCAAGGCTCCTTCTGGAATTGATCCTGGAGCCTGAACCCCCAAACCAAGTGCTCCATACAGACACTGGAATTTTTTTTTAACCCAGCTCTGAAAGCTCAGCTGCCTTCATGGGGGACACGGACGGGGTGGGTACTAAGGCTCCCTAACAGAGCCAAAAACTGAGCTGAGGGCCTCTGTGGGGGCTACTGGAATGCTTGGTGGAAACGAGGCAGGGTGGTGCTACTCAGGCCAGATGTGAAGACCGGAGGCAAGGAGTGCAGGGGCCCAAAGTTCAGTGGTCCCCCAGCTCCTGGGGAATCTTGAGGCTGAGCTTGCAAAGTGGTGAGCAGGGGCTGTGCCTCGGCCTGGGAGTAGCCCATGACCAGGCCTCCTGTGGCCCCAGGCGGGTTACACGGGGGCAGGTTGAGTGGAAGAAAGCCCAGTAGGTGGGAGAAGTCCACATTAGCAGCGCAGAGGGCCTCAGAGAGGTTGGCGGGGCTCTTGGCAAGCAGTGCTTCATCTAGGAGGGCTGCAGCTGCCGCCGGCTGAGGTGAGGTGGGCTGGGGTTCAGCGGATGAGAGAGACAGGCTTCCAGGAAGCTCCGCCAGAAAACTATCCACCTCCACTTTGGGCAATTTGTCGGGCAAGTATGAGGTAGATCCAAGCTGGTATTTTGGAGGGAGCTGAGCTGGGGAAGAGATAGGTGAGGATTCCAGAGGGTAGCTCATACCCATGGGCAGTGTGTTGTGCACCAGGGAGTGTGGCACACCTGTGCTGGGCATCGTAGGGATGTGGGCACCATACATGCCCATGGGCAACATGCCAGGGAAGGCCTTGGTCCCCATTACGTCCCGAGAGGCCATGCACAGCACAGGGCTCAGCTCTTCCTTCACATTGACTGTGGAGCTGCAGCTGAGTAGGCCTAACATGTCCACTGGCTCTGTCTTGATCTTGAGCAGCTCCTGCGAGTGGCTCTTCTTGACATGACGCGTCAGGTGGTCCTTACGGCCAAACCGCTGGGCACAGTACTGGCACAGGAAATCCTTACGGCCTGTGTGCACCACTAGGTGCCGCCGTACATCCTTACGAGTATAGAACCGCCGGTCACAGTGGTCACAGGGGTGCTTCTTCTCCTTGGCACCACCTGCTACCCGGCGTGAGTGGGCCTTCAGGTGCTCTAGCAGGGCCTGGGTACTCTCAAAGGTCTGCAGGCACACCTTGCAGCTGAGGTCACCGCTGCTGGCAGCATGCATGGCCAGGTGGCGCCGGTAGCCCAGCTTTGTATTGTAATTCTTACCACACTCAGAGCAGTGGAGGGCCTCCTTGTTAGGGTCATGGGTCTGCAGATGATTCCGCAGATGGTCCTTGCGGTGAAACATCTTATCACAGTACATACACTGGTGGGGTTTCTGGGCTGAGTGGGTGGCCATGTGCCTGGGGTAGAAAAGGGAGAGAGGGGAGAAAGCAGAAAGAGGGGAGATCACAAGGGATGACTGGACAACCAAGGTGTCCATTAATAGGAAACTAGATACAAAAACTATGGCAAAGGCTTGCAATGCAATACCAAACCAATTCTATTCCACAGATATCCTTGCCTACCTGCAAAATAATGTGTACTGATATTATTTGCAGCATTGCTGGTAGTAGCAAAAAAATCAGCAACAATCAGAACATCCAATCTATCAATAGGTAACTGGTTACAGAAATTATGTTAAGTCCATAAAATGACTCAACTTTTCAAAAAATGAAGCTTTATATGTACTTACAGGGAATATGCTGCTAAGAGACAGGAAGTAGAAAAAATGAGGCAGAATAGTAGATATAGAATAGTATTCTATGTGAAAAGGGGAAAAATATACGTATGTTTGCTTGCATATGCCTAAAATATTTCTGGAAGGATATACAAGAAACCGAAGCCAGTGGCTGCCTATGGGAAAAAGAACCAAACAGCTTATGGATGAGTGTGATGGAGAATTTTCATCACATAAGTTTTTGTACCTTCTGAATTTTGAATTACATGAATGTATTTCCTTTTTTAAAAAATTACATTTAAATAATTTAAAATGATACAATAAAGAGAAAATGAAATATATCTAAATTTCCAGTCTGAGCACAGTGGTGTATGCCTGTAATCCCAGCACTATGAGAAGGCAAGGAAGAAGGATCATTTGAGCCTAGGAATTCGAGAACAACATAGCGAGATCCTGTCTCTACAAAATATTAAAAATTAGGTGAGCATGGTAGCGTGCACCTGTAGTCCTAGCCACTCAAGAGGCTAAGGCAGGATTACCTGAGCCCAGGAATTCGAAACTGCAGTGAGCTATGATTGCACCACTGCACTCCATCGTGGGTGACAGAGTGAGACTCTGTCTCTAAATAAACTTCCTCGAGACTTCATCTCTAAATAAATAAATAAACTTCCTTATCTAGAACAAATTTCCAAGATATATAGGGCTAAGTCAAAACAGGAAGTTCAATACAGTGCATGTAATACAATCTTTTTTGAAAATAAAAAAGGGAATATACATGTTTGAATGTCTCAGGAGGATACACAAAAACCAACCCCCAGCTGCCTTTGGGGAGCAAACACCCCTCTCTACATTACCACGTTCGTTACATCACAGGAGGCTGACAGTAACCCACACAGGCATGCGCATTCTTAGGGTGCTCATGCTGGAGAACCATTCATCACTGCATGCCTGTTTGTACCATTTGAATTGCTTGCCGTGTTAACCAGTAACACTTCAAGAAATGTTTTAATGGTATGGCACTTCAGTGTCCCTTGGTTTACCTGATTGCATATGGTTGAAAAGTGGCTCAGAATCCAGGAACTGCAATTCACAGCTCCACAGCACATTCAGAATCAACTCAGCACCCACTGTTTGCCAGGCTCTGCATAAGTTGTGTCTTTAACCTTGATCTCCAGACAAGGAGTCTGAAACACAGGGCGGCCCCCTCACCCACCAGTCAGTAAGTAGCAGAGGCTGGATTTAAACAGGCCTTCAGAACACCTATGTTCAGTCAGGTATGCAACAGCTGTCTCTCGTACAGCACCCAGTGATCCTTTCTCCCTGGAGGGTATCAAACACACGCGCTGCCAACATGATACAAGTGTACGCTCAAGAGTGCTCAAGACTGTGTGGGTTACTGTCAACCTCCTGTGATGTAACTGAAAATGCAGAGAGGGAGGTGCTGAGTGATCCACTGTTCATTTCCCTCATTTTGTAGGTGAGGAAACTGAGGCCCAAAGAGGTTTAATACCTCACCTAAGATCACACAGTAAATTTTATGTGGAGTCAGGGCTCCTGCTTCCTGACCCAGGACTTTTCCTGCAGCCTCCCACTGGGAACCGGACCCTCATTAAGAAAGTCTAAGAAGGCAGGGAACAGTGGCTTACGCCAGTAATCTCAATACTTTGGGAGGCTAAGGTAGGAGGACAGTTTGAGGCCAGGAGTTTGAGACCACCCTGAACAACTCAGGGAAGAGACTCTGTCTCTAGAAAAGATAGAAAAATTAGTGGGTGTGGTGGTGGTGCATGCCTGTGGTCTTAGCTACTCAGAAGGCTGAGGCAGGAGAATCACTTGAGCCAAGGAGTTTGAGGCTGCGGTTAGTTACGATCACTCCACTATACTCCAGCTTGGGCAAAAGTGAGACCCTAGCAACAGGAGCTTTGGGAGCCACTGTGGCTCAGGTCAGTTGTTCTGGTGCTTGAGGAGGCAATTCTACACGTTCAAGGCCATCCTGCGTAACCCACTAAAAAAAAAAAAAAATGAGACCCTGTCTCAAAAAAAACAGAAAGCCTAAAAGTATGGCCTTGACTGGAGTTCCCTTAAGATATAGGAGCACACAGAAAATCAAAGCACTCCTGAGGACCACAGAACTATCAAGAGGACAATCATGGCTACCATGCTACCCTGTTGCCTATTTTAGTCCCTTCCTATTTATTAACTGTTTTCCAGATGAGGAACTGAGGCTTTTGTGGTCTTCTTGTTCATATTTACTTGTTTACTGTCTGTACCCACATTAAGACTGTAAAACCAAAGAAGGCCAGCACCCTCTTATGTCTGGCTCACTACTCCACCCCTCACACCAAGCACTGTGCCTGCTACAGAGCAAGAGCTCAATAATGTTGGGCAGATGAACTGATGGTTGGATGACTGTGCATCAGGCCAATCTATCTCATTTCTTTTTTTTTTTTTTTTTTTTTTTTTTT